CCATCCTCCTGCTTTGCCTCTGCAGGGACACAACAGGAGGAGCAGCGGATGAAGCTGGGGAAGAGGAACCACTCAGGACTTTGACATGACAGATATTTCACCCTTCTGTGACGCAAAAGCTCTTCTGAGACTGATGTCGTTAATGAAGCTCCACACATTGCTTAATCTGTCTGGTTCTCACAATGAGTTTTGATAAAGTCTCAAATGAAGGAGATGTCAGGAAAGCCCACAGCGGGGACCGCGAGCAACACAACGCCAACGGGAGCGTGCCAGCAGCGTGTGACCACACAGCACTGCTTTGCCATCCTCACGTGTTGAGTTTTTGCTTTGGGAAGCGGAAATGGAGGAAATGTCTTTTTGCTGAGTGCTGCACATCGCCAGAAACGCTCATCTGAATCCACACCTGCAGTGCTGGCTTGGAGGCGAAGGGCTGCTGAGCTCCCTTAGAGTGCATCGTCTGCCCAGCAGTCAGACGGCAGCCAAAGCATCAGGAGCTGCTCAGCCTCTCTGCAAGGCCACCCACCACCCTTCAGCACCAACACATGGCTCCAGCGATCCCACGGAGTGAAGCACTCCCAGCAGTGCTGCGCCGTGCTCGGAGCTCCTGCACGCACCGAAGCGGGGATGCGGGGAGGCAGCGCTGCTCGCTGGGCCAGTTACCCACCTTACCGACAGATGGAGCCTGGAATCAGCTTTCAAAGTACGAGCTGAAAGTCGGAGCTGATTTCAGTCCTGCATTCGGAGTGCTCGCAAGAAATGCAAACTTGTGGCATGTGCGGGGAAAGGAACAAAGCAGCATCACGCTGCTGCAGTTGGAAAGCAGCCTCAGAGCATTTAAGGTACGTACTACTAAAAGTACAGAAAGCCAAAGACCTTATAAAGCCACTGTGCTCTCACACACAGCATTCAACTATACCTGAACCTGTGAAACACTTTCAACTCCACAGCTGCGTTCCTATCATTTAAGGAGAGGAAGAAAGTCTGCAACGAGTCACAGCAACGCAGAGCACAAAACAGAGCTCCAGGAGACCCAGCTCAGGAACATCATCTTGTGCACAGGGGAATAACCCAAATGCAGCAGCACTGCTCTCAGTGCTCAGCCACAGCCATACCTGGCACAGCCAGGAGCAGCCACTGCAGGGGCAACACTGCAGTGCCCACCCCCAGAGCCCTCTGCCTGCACTGGCTGAGCACACAGCCCGCACTCAGAACCCCTTCCTATACATACATCATTGAAATCAATCCCACCAAAACCCCTCTGACCTTCCTGGCCAGCCCCATTATCTGCACAACCCCTAAATCAGCCTCCAGTGCCCCACTCAGCCCCACTCCCATCCTCTTCAGGGGCTGAACCTCTATTTAATCCATTTAAGATGAGGCCTGGGTATCTATACCTTATGAGCTTTGTTGTGGGGTGCTTCAGCTCTCACCTCTGGCTGTGTAGGAGAGGTTGGGAGCAGTGCTGGGGCCTGAGCCTTGCCTTAGGGAGCTGCCCCTGGCCTGCACTTTGCTGCTGGGGTCACTGCTCAGCCCCATATCGCTGTTCCCCAGCAGCTGCTCCTCAGTCTGTGCCACTCAGCTGCATTTCTGTACCTGCTGATAACTCACAGGTGTGTATAATTCCATTTGGACATTTTTCCTTCTGTCTGAACCCAAATCCAAGCCAGGCTGCCCCCGACTGCCCCACCGTTGGTGTGCACAGAGCACCTTTCCCTGCAGCACTGCACTGAAACCAAACACATCAAAGTTCATCTTTCATTTAAACAGTTGCTTCAGATTCTGAAGGGCTCCAAGTGCTCTGATGGGCAGAACGGGGCAGACTCGTCCTGTTTGTTGGTTTAAATGTCAAAATGTCTCAGCAATAATGCACTGCTAGGGTTCTAAAAATGTTGTGTTTGGGGTTCTTATGCTTTATAGCAGAAAATGAAGGGAAATAAATAACACCCAGAAAACCCTTTGCCAGGCAGGATATCTGCAGTAAAGTCAAACAAAAATCAGGCACATAATGTGCATTTCATCAGGAAAAAGCCATTCTGCTTCGTGAAACCACTGAAGGGATGTCTGTGACCTGCCTGCAAATGCTGCGGGAGAGCACAGAGCCTGGGAAGCTTTAGAACAGCTCTTAGCATGCAGCGCAGGGAGAGGGCTGTGCCAGGCAACAGCCTGGGGAATTTCAGGTACTTGTAAGTCAGAATGCATATTCTTGAAAGACAATCAGCCTTTTAGGAACTTCACTGCCGTGCTGTTCATCGCTCTGTGTGCCCTACATCCATACAAAGAGACATCGTGCGTTTTCCCCCTTGACCTGTCCAGCCCTGGAGCCACAGCAGCCCAAGGTGTCGGATCCTCCCTGCTCCTTTGTACCTCTGTGCACTGCGTGATCATTTCCAGCTCCGTGCGCCCATAGACAGCAGTGACTTCTGCTTCCAACACATCAAGGAGCACAATTTCTGCTCGCTGCAGCACTGATCAGCAGATCAGGAGAGAGGCAGTACTCTCAGGTTATTGGGGGTCAGGCCTTAATTATGAGATAGGGCATGCAAGAGACAGCAACAGCGCGGACAGAGGAGCGCTCCCTTAGCTTATGAGGTTCCCTGGAATGACGGCACTGTCTGCAGGTCCCACGGAGCCCCACAGGCTCACAGGCTGCAGCCCGCACTGCCCTGCTTTTACCACTCAGTCCTGACCTTGGAAAGCATTCAAATGCCTTCCAGAGAAACTACAACTTTGTGTTACCAACTTTCTCCATAATTTTGACATCCTGGGCACGCAGATAGAATATGAATTCAGTGAAATTCGTTCTTCTCTGTAACCCACAAAACACACCACTGGAATCTCAGCTGTGCACTGAGCAGCCCTCCAGGGGCAGCTCCACGAGCAGTTCACGAAACTGCACTCCTGACCTCCACAGCACAGCACTGCTGATGCACAATTACAGCATGCAAGGAGCGCAGACAGCACGCCTCCCTCCTTACCCCACTACCTGCAGGTTTCACCCACTGCTCGTTAGCTGTGCGGGAGGAATAACCTCTGCTATTCATCCCCTCCACATCACTCACCGCTCCGAGTGCCTCTTTGCAGCTCTGCTCCTCCTTGCCTTTCCTGGGCTCCCCTACAGTCCCTTTGATCGCCCCTCAGTTCACGACCTCGTTAGGAGCTCCTGATGAGAGCTGCAGCGCTCGGGAAGCAGCACAGCGCGGATCTGCACGCTGACTGAACCTTCCCTTCGTTCTTTATTTCCAGCCCACCCCTCCCTACCCCCTTCATTTCTTTTTCCCCAGTTGTTTTCTTCTTCTCACAGTGCCCACGCAGACGCAGGAGGCATCATCAGAGGGCTGTTTCTCCTGCATGCGCTCCCCGACACCGACCAAAACTGAGTTCCTGTGCTGCTGCTCAGTTTCCCCATGTCCTGCAGTTCCGTAACCCTTTTTTACTTGGCTTCATTTTTTATCATTCTGAAAAACAACACTGGATTCCCACAGATGGTGCTGTTCTGTTATTCATAGTTTCCTTTTTCCTCCTTCCCTCCAATCGCTGTGAAATACACAAAAAGAACACAAACCTACGTCCCTGCTGAACAAGCTCCTAACTCCATTCTTGCCAACTTCTACCTGTTCTCAACCCACAGGCAGACTCCTTCAGAGCTTAATAGTTTGGGAAATCTTTCCAAGGAGCTCAAGAAAACTTTCTTAATTCAAGCACGTTGCGACAAACAAATAAATGTAAGCAATTATGTCTGAGCCTTGCAGAACTCTAATTGGAGCCAGAGGAGCCTCGCTGACGGGCTCCACCTGCCCTTCCCAGCACACACCGTTTGACACACACACAGTGCTGGCTGTGCTTCTCCTCGGCTGCTTCTCTTCGCACTTCTGCCGAGCTGGTCAGGCTGGGAGGCGATCAGCGGGTAACTTCACGCACGCCAGCACTTTTCATGCCTTCAGCATCTTTCTCTTCACGCCCGTTTTGCTCTGCCACGCGGCAGCTCTGCATTTAACCCCACAGATTGCTTTCTGCGTTTTCTTTGTTTGGACACAACTCGGGTTTCTTAGGACGCCTCCTCGTCCCGTGCAGCTCCGCGTGAGCGCAGCGCTCCTTCCGAGCTCCTCCATCGCCGCGGTGCCGACCCGCAGCCCCGGGCTGAGCTCCGGCACCGTTCAGTCGCCCAACGCCGAACGCCATTTGCGGGCCGGGCGCCGCAGACGCAGAGCGCAGCGCCCCCTGCAGGACGCACCGCCGAACTGCACGCAGCGCCACGGGACGGCAGCGTCGCGCGGCACCCAGCGGGAGATGGAGGGCGGGCGCGCGTGGTTCTCGCAGCTGGCAGAGCCGCGCGGTGCATCCACAGAAAACAATTCCTGCCTTCCTTTCCTCCTTCGCAGCTCGCGATCCGGCGTGCCGCTGTTCCCCGCGGCGACTCCCCTCCGCGCTGCCGCGTGCCGCCCCGACCGAGCGCCCCGCGCTGTCCCGGCACCGCCGTCAGTGCGCTGGGCGGGACTGCGGCCGGAGCCCGGGGCTGGGCTTCCGACTCGTGCCGTCCCTGCGCCGTGAGACGCAGCTGCCGTGTGACACGGGAGAGGAATGGGGCAACTCGGTAACAACGAGCGCGCTCTGAGCGTTTATCGGAGCGATTATCCGGGCGTTTATCCGGGCGTTTATCGGAGCGTTTATTCGGGCGTTCTGCGCACACCGCGGCGCTGACCGCTCACCGACCGCCCGCCAGGCGGCGCTGTGGGAGCGGGGCACGACGGACCCGGACGGCGGCGCGCGGCGCTCCCGCGAGATTTGGCAGCGTGCCGTCTCGCGAGAGGCGGGCGGCGGAAGGGGCGGGGCGGCGGCCGGCCGGGAGGAGGGCGGCGCGCCGCCAGCGCGGCTCTGCGGCCTGTGCGCGTCCGCAGCCCTCAGCCCTCAGCCCGCCGCCGATCCCCGCCGCCCCGCGGCCTTTTTCTCTGTGCGGCTCCTCTGAGGCGCGGGCGCAGGCGGAGAGCGGGTGCAGCCCCCGCCCGGCGGCCTCCCCCATGGTGGGCTTCGGGGCCAACCGCAGGGGCGGCCGCCTGCCCTCCTTCCTGCTGGCCGCCCTGCTGCTCGTCATCGCCGTCCTCGCCTTCAACTGCTGGAACGCGGCGTCCCGCCAGGCCGTGCTGCGGGAGGAGCTGGCCGAGCTGCAGAGCCAGGCCAAGCGCACCGAGGTGGCCCGAGGGCGGCTGGAGAAGCGCAACTCCGACCTGCTGGGCCGGGTGGATTCGCACCGTAAGCAGCTGGAGCAGAAGGAGGCGGATTACAGCCAGCTGAGCAGCCGGCTGCAGGCCAGGGACGGGCAGGTGAAGCGCTGCGAGGACAGCAGGGTGAGCGCCGGGCTCCAGGCGTTACGTATTGCGGGCGGGGAGAAAACGGGTGGGACTGTCGGGGAAAGGAGACACGTGGCGTCAGTGAGCGCCGTGTGCCTGCGGGGGGTCCTGCGGGCGAACGGCTGCGGGTGCGTGGTGAGGGGCGGCTCCGAGTGGCGAAGGGCAGCGCTGCTCTCGTTTGGGAATCTGTGCCGCCGAACGCCGTCTGTACTGAAAACAACGTGGTTTATAAACGGGTCTCTGATGTGGATGGGACGGGTGGGAGGGCTGTGAGGAGCAAAGCTCAGCGCTGGGCTGGGGGAGGTGGTTCCTCTGGTAAAAGGCAGAAGATGAGCTGTGGGTTTGTAGCTGATGTGCTCTATCTGTCTCTGAGTTGGCACACAAATAGTGGGGGCAGGCAGGTTTAGCACTGGGACTTGTGAGTGGCTCAGAGAGCGGAGTGGAAGCAGTCAGAAAGGTCTGTTACCAGAACAAGCACACGGTGTGTGTGAATTATTGCACCTGATGGCTGGGCTGATATATGTATGTATTTTCTCAGAATACGGTTTTGTGAGGATGCTCTTGGACACAGTTATGCCAGTGATTCCAGTTGGTTTGTGAGATGCAGAGCTATAACAAAGCAGCAACACTGGGTGCTCACAATGAACCCGGCTTTGCTTCATAGCAAGCTCCATGGAGAGGTGCTATTCTGGTGGCTGTTCCTGCACTCTGTGCTGCTCTCCTGGCCCTTTGCCCTGTGCTCAGCACATCAGCTACGTGTTTCCCATGCTGAGGGAGCCAGCACGTCTGCAGATGCTTCCTCCCAGCTCAGCGATGCCCACAGCAAGCCCATAGCCTTGGCTTTACCCTCTGTGTGTGTTACATGTCCCCCTGTGCCCTTGTTTGCTCGTGACAGATGTGCAGCAGTAATTAAGTGTTCTGGTGTCTTGTTAAAGGAAACAAAACAAATAATAAAAGGAAAAAAAAGTGCACGCAATCCATTTCACTCCGAGTGCAGACAGACAGCACCTGCTGCTGGATGGTGTGTGAGCTGGGAGGATCCTGGCAGGGCAGTGCTGAGAGCACTGGGGCCACGTGTGTGCAGGCTGCTGTGAGGAGGAGTCCCTGAAATACAGATGAGCATCTTACCTTGGTATGCCAGGAGCTGGGAAACAAGTGATGGTAAATGAGGCTCGATCCACTCTGTAGGCTCACCACAGCTGCCTGAATCTCACAGAGGTGTTGTAGCTGATCTTTGGAGGTGAATCTCTCACAAGGAAAGATCTTCTAAAGGTGGAAAAAACAAGAGTATCTTTGTAACTATAATTTGGAAGAAAAGAGCCTTTCTGGAAGTGGAAATATACTGAAATGAAAAGGAATGTGCAAAAGCTTCCTTTTGTGCTGGAGGTGAGCTGTGAAGAGGAGCTGTGACAGAACACAGTGCTCACAGCAGGCAGAGGCAGTGACTGTGCCGGGGCTGGGAGGTGATGCACGTGCTGTCGGTTGGTTCCTCAGTGTTTCATACTGCTTTGCATATTGCCAGGAGATGTTTTTTCAGAGCTTTATGCATCCCTTTGCAGTCAGCTCAGTAGGAAGATTGGGCGGCAGGATTTTGTGGTGGAGAGCTGTGTGGGGGCTCCTATCTGTGTCTGCTCTTGCAGCTCTCAGGAGCTCGCCTTTTTTGTTGCAGAGCTGTTGCTGGCTGTGCCAGTGTGTAATACATCTTTGTCCCTTCGTTGATGCTTTGAAGTGCTGCTTTGTGGGATGAAGCTGCTTGGTGAAACTCCCTTGGAAGCACTGGCTGTGTCCTTTTCTGCCAGAGCTCCTCCACAGCTCCTCAGTTTGCAGAGCTGTAGCTCTACAGCAGTGCTGCTGAATGCAGCTTCCTGCTCTTGCTTCTTGCTCCCCAGCAGCAGCATCTCCAGGGCTGCAGCATGATGGTAACTGACTGTTGGGAAAAGGGCACTTGATGGAGTAGGACGATCATGGAGTACATCTCCTTCTACTATCAGCCTTTTGAAATGGCTTTCTTGTGCTGTTCCAGCACGTGCTGTGGTGGGGAATGGGGAATGGCCATTCCTGGGGCAGTATGGACAGCTGGTGCTGCTTTGGTGGCAGTTTGGGGGCTGGAGTGGCTCTGAGATGGGGTGAGTGTTTGCAGCTCACTGCTTGTTTCGTTGGGAAGCAGTTACCACCTGTGTTCTTACTGCAATAAATACATAAAGGTAAATGCAGTAAAGACATGAAGATAAGCTCCAGTGTGTTTGTAACTTTCTTCTGGGCTGCCTTTTGTTACAAAGGGCACTTGCAGTTTAGAAGCATTGGAAGGGTTACCTTGTGTGTAGCTGGCTCTGGCAAGCAGAGGATTTCTGATGTTTATGTTCCTGTGCAGAGCTCAGTGAATCGCAGGGGATTCCTGTTATGCTTCCCAGCTGCTTTGGAAAGGATCTGGGAGGCCATGAGGAATACGGGCAGTGCAGGCGGCTCTGGCTTCCAGCAGCACACGGATCTGGAAGAGTTGGATTTGTGCCATGCTTTGTGGGGTGGCTTTTTTGCATGTGGAGGTGGAACAGATGAATCATTAAACGCTTCTTCGCTTTCCATCCCTCAGATTGGGGACGTTTGCTGTCAGCCAGGCAGTTTGGGCCATAAATTCTGGTGCTTTTCTCTGAAACTCAAAGTTGTCAAAATGAAAGATAGTGTGATAAAGCTGATCCTATCTCCAAATCAAATTCTTGTGTGCAGAGAGGCAGTTCCTCCCCATCGCTTCAGAACTCGGATGTTTGATGGGGTGAGGAAGAAGCGAGCTGGCAGCAGGGCTGTCTGTGTTATGAATTCTGATAGATGAAGGTTTGAACAGCCCAGCGCTTTGCAGGATCTCTGCTGTTTGTGGGTTTGTTGTGTTCTGGGGAAGAATTGCATTAGAGTGGATGACAGGAAAAAATTGGTAATTAGTGCTGGTGGTTTTGCATTTTCTTGACATCGCCTGCTTTTGGCTTTCTCTGGAAACAGAAGTGCACCTCTTTGCTCGTGGTCAGTAACCCTGCTTGCACTGCTCCCCTCTCTGGTGCTGAGCTGGCAGGACGGGCGCCCATAGGAGCAGAGCTCAGCTTTTCTGTCGGCCTTCTGTGTGCAGTCCTTGCTGCAGGCACCGCTTGTGCTGCTCAGATAGAGCGCAGGAAGCCCAGAGCAAGCTCTCTCCTTTGATTTGGGTGTTCTCTGTCTGGAGCGGTTCTGATTTCATGGTGGGCAGGGTGCATGCAGCTGGTTCTCAGGCGTGTGGCTGCGTCATGCCCAGGAAGCTCTTCGGGTGTCCCTGCAGGCTGCTGCTTTCGCATCCCAGCAGTGCAATCAGGCTTCTCGGGCTGCCAGGAGGCTGCGCCCTGTGCTGCTGTGTTTTGGGGAACGGCTCCTTGAGCAGCTCTGCGTCCCACCTCCGGGCTGCACCCTGCTATGGCACCGCAGCCCCTGGGAGCTGCCACAGGGGTCAGCCTGCCACAGCACGAGTCTGCAGAGCGGAAAGGAGCGTTTGGGAAAAGGGGAGCTGGGTGTTGTGGAGGAAGTGCTGCGGAGGGATGGACGTGTGTCTGTTTAAAGCTGCTCTGGGTGACGCTGTAGGGCCTGGCTGGGAATAAAAGCTGCCAGCTGTGCTCGTGCTGCGTTCCTTTAATGGCGGTGGAAGTGGGGGCTCTCAAGAAGCGGAGACAACAGGGCCTCAAGTGGTGCCAAAGCTGTGTGTCAGAACCCTTGAGCCCAAGCTTTCTGCGTGTTTTTGGAGTTACTCTGCTTTTTCTCAGACAGCTAAATGCAGTCTGTAGTATTCCAGGAGGTCACTGAGAGCATCAGCCTCGGTGCCGAGCTGCCTCAGCACCCTGTAGTCACCCCCACATCAGCCGTGGAACTGCAGGATAAGTAATGGCAGCATCCATGTTGCCTGCTGATGGCATTGTGTCGCCCTGTCTCACTATGCTCTGTGTGCATTTTTATCTTAACTTCTACTGCTTTCGTTTGTAAAAGCAAGAGAGCACACTTTTGCTCCATGACTTTGTATACATTTCTTTCTATTGCAACTGCTGTTTTTTCCTGACTGAAAATACCCAACACGTAGCAGTTATGGAGGTCTACTGGTGCCAGACTCTCTCTTAAAAGTATAATTTGTGTTAAGAACTTAATGTAGTGTCACATTAAATATTTGCTTAAAATATACAGCAGGTAAAAGATGTTTTGCTAATGGTGCTGCTTGTTTATTTTTATAAACTTACTTTGACTTTGGGAATCCATTGCCCCCTTTGCAGCACTGGGATGCAGGGAGCTTACTGCAGTCCTGGCACAATCTGCTCTTTTTCATAACGAAAAAAGAATGAGTGAAGAAGCATTTGAATCTTTACAGTCTAAACCCTCTCTATTCTGCTGAAGACTGTTTGCAGCAATGGAACATTTCTGCCTTTCAGGTGAAGCTGCAGAACAACATATCGTACCAGATGGCAGACATACATCGTTTGAAGGGTAAGGAATTCGTGGCCGTGCTGTACTTTGTAACTGCCCAGTGCTGCAGGGTGTTTGCGGGATGGAGTGCTGGTGTGCTGCAGAGGCTGATGTGCACAGTGCTCGTTGGCTGAGTGCTCTGCACCTCAGTGCACGGCTGGTGCCCACGGCCTCGGCGCTCCTGTCTGCAGCAAGGCTCTGTTCTGGCACTGCTGGCTTCCAAGATGCTGCAGTTGTTTTCACGACCAGTTCAGTACAGCTGGCCCAGCAGTGCTGGAGGCCTGTAGGGCTGTCCTTGCAGGTGTTGGAAACGTGCAGTGGGGGCAAATGTGGGCCAGCTAACGCCCAGGTTTGTGCATACCTGCAAACAGCATCTTGGCCTTTCTGCCTGTCTGTGGGGCTGCTGTTGGCATTTAAATGGTTATCTGTGTCCTGAGAAGCAGGAGAAAAACCATTGGAACAGTTGTATCAGTTATTTTTGGAGCAGTGTGAAGATACTTCCTTGGTACATTTGTTGCTGAAGAAGGGCGGCTTAGCGGTGCTCCTGTGTTACTCAGAACAACAGATTCTTTTTAGGAGACTGGGGGGGTTTCCCAGACAGGTGAGATGGCACTGTGTGCCGCTTCTGGACAGAAGTTAAAGAACAATTCAGCCTTTTTTAGCATTGGTTCTGTAGTATTGGAGCTGCTCTGTATTCTGTAGCGATGTTTGGCATACTGAAATAAGGTGGCATCTTTTTCAAGATAAAGAATCTTTATATGTAGAAGAAACGACAAAACTTGAGCAACTTTTAAACTCGCACAGCAATAGCAGATGTGTTGCCGTGGGGCGTTTTGCATTCAGATTGTATGTTAATACTGACTTGTGCTCTTTGGCCCAGAACAACTGGCAGAATTACGTCAGGAATTCATCCGCCAGGAAGATCAGCTGCACGAGTACAAGAAGAACAACACTTACCTGATGAGGAGGCTGGAGTACGACAGGTATGTCTGCTGGAGGCTCAGAACTGTCCTTTGTGTGTGTGTGACACAAGTCTGCCTTGGTTAAAAGACAGGTGAATTGTACATGCAGCCCTCAAACTCAGGTACCCGTTTGATGACACAGCTTTAACTTCAAACATTACAATCAAACATCTAGCTGTTATTCTGATATAGAAGTGAGATATGTATCCTGTGCAAAATCTAATTTGAATTGTTCAGTGTTTATAATGTTGAGATCTGAGTTAACGAGCGTGCGGAAGAGTTTGGTGAACAAAGTTCTGTAAGCCACTGGAATAGTCAGGTCTGCCCTCCTGACAGAGAAATGCATCAAACCGAAGTTAAAACACCGTGTGTAAGTGAGATTTCAAGCACGGTAGAGCAGTGGGGAGAACTGGTCCTTCTGAAGCTTAAGGAATGGCAGAGATTAGCACTGAGCAGTGCTCAAAACTGTTGTGGAGAAGCAGATATTCTGTTTGTGCTGTGCTGGGTGTCTGCAGGTTTGCGTGAGATGGGCGTCGTGTTGGCTTGTGTGGATCTGTGTGCCGTGTTAGAGACACTGGGAGACTCAGCTGTGTGATCCATGGATGTTGTTTGGGTTGGTAGCAGTAACGGGGTCCTGGTTGTGCTGCTTCTGTGCTGACAGCCACGGGAGGCATTGCTTTCCAAGTGGAACAAATACGTGCTGATGACAGATGAACTGGGAAGCTTGGATTTTCAGTTGCTTTCCAGGTTTTGGAGGAGAGCCATTCGAGGCACTTCTGTTATTTTACTGTTTCTGTGCTCTGTCCTTGTTTTTCCAGCTCCACTTTTTTCCTGTATTCAGTCCATTTTCACTCCATACACATCTCATTCCAGGACAGAGGGTTTTGGACAGACTGTTCTGCTTGCAGCTCAGGTTTTGCTTTTTGTGCCTCTTCATTTTTTGTCCCTATTATGTTTATGGGAGAGCGGATATAACAAATCCAACAAACGAAATATGACTGATCATGTATTTCTAATTAAGTCTGCAGTGTGGGCAGCAGATCAAGGAAATGAGAATGCAACATGAAGAAAACATGAAGAAATTAATGGACCAGATTGTTCAGGAACAAAAGGTGATGCAGAGTTACGTTCCTTTGAAACAGAAGAACCTGAAGGCCTTTGGTTGTTGACGCAGCAGTTCAGATATATGAGGGGTTGCACATTTCTCCTCTGAGATTTGATGAAATGCTGGGCTGGATGTCAGTAAGGCCATCTGCCCGTTTGCTCAGCCACTGAACTAAGCCTTGAAGATTGGGCTTCATTCTTTGGTCTGCTGTGAGTGGATTTCAGTCAGATCTTGAAGTTTAGGATTGCTTTTAAGTCTGTGACCTGAGGTGTAAGGCCTGGGGTGTCTTTACCACTTTGTGATCTGTTTAAGAGCTGAGATGACCTTAACTTTCTTACCATGGTAATTTCTTCTGTGTGCCCATACACTCTTGTTTATTTGTGAATTGCACGAGGTAGGTGCCTGCTAGAGGCAATGCTGGCTTATGCAGAACCCATGGAAATAGCTTTCCAAGTTCTCTGCTTGTTCCATATCAGATGAAACTAACGTGTTGTGGAATGGTAATGGTCGTCTTGCCATTCCTTTGCAATAGCTCAGATGTTATTCACAGTTATGAATGGTTTGGCTATTGTATGGATGCCACAGTGCTTTACACTCTGTTACGTGCCCAGAAGCACAGCTCCAACTCTCAGGACTGAAGTTCATATATAGAGGACTTGTGCTGTTGTTTGCTTTGGTGAACATCTGATTCATAGATGTGATTTGGTTTGTCCAAAGCAAATCTTAACTTTATGGTGTTCTATGCTTGTTTGTTTTTAACTTTCACAGCTGTGCTTAATAACTGTTCTAATTAATTTGTTCTAACAGGCAACGCAGAGAATTCAGTCCATCAAAGATGCTGAGATAAATCCCAATGGTGATGACCAGGCAATGTCTAAGATTGTTCCAGAGGTGGAAGTTAAAAATGCAGAAAATAACGAGCTGCCTTCAGATCGTGGTGTAAATGGCAAAGGTATTTCCCTTTTTGGGTCATTTCTGGTGTGTAGTGGCCAAAGGTGTTGTGTCCTCAGTGCTGTACAGAATCACCTGCAGCAAAGCAATGAGTTGCATGTGGCTGTGCTGAGAGTTGAGATGTATCCAGAGATTGTTGTGTCCTTTCTCTGGGCCCTTCTGTGAAAGCAGTTTCTTGCACAATTTTGTGTTCATCTTTATCATTTGTTTGGCATCTCCTTCCTCACGTGGCCAGCTGTCAAGCAGGGATTGCCACTGTGCTCACTGTGAAATGTCTTGTGGTGAGCTGGGGAAGGGGAGTATTGGTGGAGAGCTGGGTTCTGCCCAGAGGAGGCGAGGAGCATCGAAATCTGTGAGAAGTCTGTAGCTGAGAAACTCAGCAGGAACAGTGGGAGCCTTTGATCACCAGGAGCTGTGCAGGAAGCTCTCAGTGAATAACTTGCAATTGTTTCCTGCCTCCAAGCCCCTCTAAAAGGTGTTTGGGTTCTCCTTGCTTCTACTTCTGCTGCTGAACCTGCACCTTTTTCTATCAGTTTGGTGTCTTTTCCAGGCGGTTTCTTAAAGCAAGCTTTTCCCACTCAGCTACCAAGAGCAGTGCATCTGTTTCCCATCCTTTTCTGAGGATTGCTTGGACTGACTTTGGGATCAGCACTCCACAGCAGCCTTCAGGACTTGGATGGAGCAGTGTGAGAAGTCTTGTAGCTGGATTGTCAGTGTGGGACATTTGCTGTGCATGATGGACTTTTCTTCTGGTCTTAGAGACCTCCTCAAGAGGGAAACAGTCTTAATGATTAAGGTAGAACATCTTGTTTTTGTCTTGCAGAGAAAGTCAAACCAGGAGGAGATGCAGGCATGCCTGAAATAGAAGACAATGACCCTGCTAAAGCTGAAGATACTCCCACTGGTTAGGAGAAATACTCTAACTTTCACGTTAGGATTTTTGATCTGATTTGTATTCCATGTGAATATTACGTGTTTCATAATGAGCACAGAGTTTTAAAAGCTGTCTGTGCTAGTGAAGTTCAACTGAAATATGGGACGTGAAGATTTCTACTGTTTGTTACAGCTTTGAATCCTCAAAAATGAGCGCTTCAGCGCTTCCAGAAGTTTGGTGTTGTTTTGGTTTTTTTTTTTGGCCAGAAGTTCTGTACTGCATATTTTCATCCAGGATTTGAAAACAAAATGTTTGTAGGATTGTCAGAGGAAGAGGAGTTGTTGTATTGTTGGTTTCACATTAAGGCTTTTCTCAATGTTTTTGTTCTAGCTATAAAGAAGCCCCTTATTTCAGCTCCCAGAAGCGATAATCATCAGTCTGTGCTACACCCTCCAACTGAACAGCCCCACGCTCCAAATCTGGCACCAGGTAAAATGCTGACTGGCAGATGATGTGCCAAACTTCCCAATTAATATCTGCTATTTTATCATGGAAACTTGGTGCAGGTGGCCAGCACTCTCTTCATTTGGTACTATTACAGAGAGAAGAAAAAATGATTTCTGCTGGATACCAGATTGAATGCATTCTTAGTGTGGGCTCCTGAGGCACTGTGGTTGCTGCTTACACGGTCTCCTCATGCTCCCTCTTGTACCCAATCATTTCTGAGCCTTTTGGTCAACTTCAGCCAAATTTGACAACCAGAAGTTACAAAGAGAAACGCTTGAAGATTTCTCCACTGGACAGGAGAGTGTAGTAGAACTCAGTAATCCTCTGCGTGGGCACTAGTTGGGGTTGCAGCAAATCATCAGGAGTTGATTATTTATTAAAATGTGATTATTTTTTATGGTAGCATTGAAACCTTTCTTTGGAACCATGCAAGCACTGAATGCTCTCCTTTTTCTGTAGGTCTGCGTAGTGACAATGATGGAAATGCTGATATTGCGAAAGAGAGACCTCCAAACTCTCTTCAGCACTTAAATTTTGGTGAAAATATGGAAAGTCAGAATGAAAACAAAATTGAAGCAGACCATATAGACCTTCAGAAAAGCAGAGCTGTCGACTTGCAAAAGATGAAGCAAAGTAAGTTGGTGAATGTCATATACATCAATACAGTAGGAGAATTGTTTTGCTGTCCATCTGTTCTAATGCTGCTTATTTGGAAAATAGGAACCATTACAGCAGGTGATCTTCTGGAGAGTAAGCCTGAAAGGAAACGTAATGTTATTGTGTCTTTAAAGCCAAACAAGCACTGAGCATGTCATTGCTCATATGTAGTCAGCCAGCATGTGAAAATCATGTGCTTATTGGCATTCAGAATGTTTCAGGACAGTACTGCATTTAAATAGATTGCTAAGTTAAGACTTTTGGTCAGTGCACGATAGGGTGACTTACATTCATGTTGTGTTGCCTGGCTTACATACGAGTTTGGGGCAAACTCACCACAAGTCAGCTCTTACACTGGGGAGCTTTGATGTTGTTTGTCTGTGTGTTGGCACAGTGTGTTCTCCAGAGCCCCTCTCTGCAGTGATGCCAAAGAAAGAAGCCTTCACACAGGAGCAAATCACACATTGCTTACAGTGTGTGATGGTAGTAATGCTGATGAAGCGTAGTGGGTGGACAGCAGGTAAGCGTCTGCAGAAATGCCCGTGGTTTCTCTGCACTGTTGATTCTGAAATGCATCTCCACCTTGCAGGTGGTGCTGCCATGTTTGAGCTGGGTGCTGTACTGGGTGCTCCTGTGTGTGCTGTGGGCACACTGGCTGGGCATACCTTCACCAGTTGTTTTCAAAAACTCATTCCAGCTGTTCAGCATTTGGGTGACAAAGGCACGATTCCACGAATACAAACGTATTGCTACAACATTTTCTCTCTGTTTTTACCTGAGCAAGGTGTGGATTTTTAATTACGTGCGCATTATAAACTCAGCTTTGAATTTGTTTTCACTCGGAGGTGAGGCAGCTTTCCCTTAGACTTTGGTTTCTGTGATCAGAATCTGTACTCTGAGACAAAGCATTACATGTGAACCCACAACCCTCTTCTGAGTCTGAAAGCAGTAAGGAAGGCTTCTGGAGTGTTCTGCCAGTAAACGCCGTTAGTTCTGGGGCTGGGTGAGCAGTCCTGCTTTTGTTGAATCAGGATCATGAACTGGTTTAAGCCTGGAAAAGCCTTCTGGAAGCACAGGTGGCCCTTGGAATCATGAAGCTGTGGAGGCCTTTTTTGTCCTGTAAGGGTTGGTGCAGGAAGTTTGCTTTGTTAAAGTTGTGTCAGTTTCTTTCCATGCCCCAGCCTTGTCTGGCGCTTCTCTAACGTGGAGAATTGGCAGGAAAATTCCTGGCTCCTAGCAATCATTGAACAGTCCTTGAATAACATTAAAAGTAAGCTGAGAATAGTGTTTACAGAAATAAATGGAGTATTTCTGGGGTGCTATTGTGAAACAGAGGTTCAATTGTAATAGGGCCTGTGAGCTCCTAGTCAGATTTGTGAGCTGATAGATGTTGAGGTATAATGGCACCAGGTGTTCAGGTGTGGGGCATTCAGTGCGTGCTCTCCTTCTCCCCCACCCCCCTGTTCCCCCACGAGCTCAGATGCTACAGCCCATAGATGGTGCAAAACCTTATCAAGAGGTTTGGGAAGCTATCTGGAGTAGTTTCTGAGCCTTTAACAGCTTTGAGAAATGCAAGAAGATATGTCTGAAAAGTGAAAGGAAGGAGGATTTGAGGAGTTCCAGCAGCCTGGCCTTGATATCCAGAATGAAAGATGAACAAATTCTCAGTCAGTCTGAATAGAATAAAGTGCTTTATGTGGATTTTTCAAGAACAAACTATGTCAGTGATAAATGTATATTCAGAGGAGCAAAAGCAGCATGGGACTTCGTTGCAGAAGACTAATGGAGATTTGGTCAGGAATAAATTGCTAATTTATGGGTGCATAACTTTATGGCAGACATAGGAAGCAGTCTGGAAAAAGCAAACAGCCACCAGGTTTACAGAGGTGTGTCTTTTCTCAGCCCTGCTGCTGGCTGGTAAACAGGATGTAAGAGGGGTGCTTTCAGCAACGTGGGAGTTTGTAAAACGTGAAAGTAGTTTGCAATTAAGAATGGAAAGTCAGGTGCACAGGACAGTAACAAGCAGAAAATGAGCAGTTCAGTAGAAAGCGATAGGCTCAACAGTCACTAACAATGTTTTCTTCTAGAGTGTGTTAACAAGAATGTCAGGGAGGAGACAAATTCGGAGTATGTTCTCTGCTTGTCTGGTGCTTTGAGGCCATCCTGTGGCTCTAAATGACAAAGATTGGAAAGGTGAAGGCGGAAGGAATTGGGTGGGGATTAAAATAGGAGGAGGGAGAAAGATCTACAAAGAGCACGGCGGAATGGATGGGGAGCAGGCATCTGCTGTGCTCCTGGAAACAGATGATAACGAGCGCAGGCTTCCGTTACTTTAATACCACTCGTGGCTCTTTCTGGTGAGATGAGGCTGTTCAAATAATACAGTAAGTTACATTAATTCAGTAAATAGTGTAGCTCAAAATCAATGTGCAGTTTGCTCAGTTCTTCTTCCACTTCACGTATCCCGAGATGTCCAAGACTGTTTAGTTTATCAAATGAGCTTCTTGCAGAACCTGCACTCTGTGAGCGGCTACATCAGAACGGACACAGCCTCGTGTTTCAGTTCTTGACTTTTTACATGGATTGGCTGTCTGCCCTGGGAATGGATCAATGCATGGGGGGCAGGAGCAGTGATGGAAATGGCCCCTCTGAAGGCTGTGGGTACCTGAGAGTCAGTAAGCACTGATCAGCTTTTGCCCTTCCACGTGATACCTTGCATCATAATGATGCGGTAAGGAAGAGGATTTCTTTCACATCTAGAAACCTGCATTAGTTATTTCTGTAAGATCCGTTTCCTAATTGATCAGCAGTGGCCATTTTGAAAGGTCCACTGGTGCTAAATTAGTTCTTCTGGCCTAGAGGAGAGCAGCTCCAGCATGCATCTCTCACTGCAGACGATTGCTTGGCTGGGGTTTGGTTTCTGGGCGCTGCCATCTTGTCTCATCCCATGAGCTGATGCACGCCAACAACCTCTTGTTGGTTGGGCTGTCACATCTGCCCAGCTTCAGAATTGTGAAGCTTCTTCAGAAATACGCTTTCTTTTTTCAATTTATTAGCACAGATTTTAAAAGGATTTAAAAATTGACTTTGGTACCAGGTGTGGAGGTGCCAACATGGCAGCTGTATGGTTTCAGAAGAGGCAGAGGCTGGCAGAAGTGCAGCAGACGCACGGTGCTCATGCCTGGTGCCTGGGGGGGGAAGTGGGAGTGCAGCAGGGCTGCAGCGTGTGCTGCTGTGTGAAGCTGTCCTGTGAGGTGCCTCAGGGTGAGCATCAGCAGCTGCTGCAAGGGCTGCACGAGGGTCCAGGTTAGCGATACCCAACTACTATCTGAGTTCTTTTGTCAAACACTCCCTACGGCCTTTAGCATCCACTGCATCCTTATGGGACATCGCACTGCTGTTATTCGCCTCTCCCGCTTTGCGGCAACGTTCTGCTCACTCAAACAGCCCTTGTAGTGCCTGGGTTCCAGACAGCAGCTCACGTCTGCAGTGAGCTGAGCAGCAGCCCACGACGCCACCACGTGCTGCTGGGACAGATTCCAGGCAGCGCTGCTGCCTGTGCCTGGTTCAGCAGGCAGCTGGTGCCTTGCTGGCTCCCGTTCTGCTGGCCCAGCTCCCGGTGCCCCAGGAGCACGTGAGTGCCTTGTGTCAGGGCTGATGCCCTCCTGGTGCTGGGCAGGGAGTCACCTGCTGCCTCCAGCCCTCAACCTGGCTCTGCGCACGCAGTCGGTGGGGCGCTGGGTTCCCTGAGGCCTTCCTGATGTTTTAACCTTTCCTTCTGTCAGCTCACACTTGTAGCATTTCTGCACACCTGCAGCCCTGGTTTTTTCCGTAAGTTAATCACTTTCAGTTTTTCTCATTCCTAACTTTATATTTAACGTGCAAATTGTGCAGTTGTTTGTAGAAGACAGCGTCCAAAAATAAAGACAACATCACAAGGATTAGTGAATTACAGAGATGAATAGAGAGTGAACAAATCAAACCTCTGATGTACAAACACATCCTAGGCAGCAGTGTCTGTACATGTGAGGGCACTGGCTGCCACCCTTCTGCTTTTCAAGCCCTGTTACTGTTTCTGCTCTGAATTTTATATACTGCCACGTACCAGTTTTCACTGTTTTAAGAGAAAAATTCATTTTCACATCTGTCCATTGTGACCCAAACACTTTTTTATTCCTGATGTGGAAATCATCAGTTTTACTTCTGTGTTTAATTGCTTCCAACACGGATCACTTCACATCTGCCCTGGCAGGCCTTTTTCTTGGTTTGTCTCCAGTCTGCAATGATAGCGTTGCACTTCGACCCCGTTCTCCTTTACACACAGTCTCCAGCCCCGTGCCCTTGGTTAGTGTTGCTTTCTTTAAGCCGTGGACAAGCAGACTGAATTCTGTGGTCTTGACCGTTTCTCCTTTGTACCTCATTACACACCAGGTCTGAACTTGATGTTACGCCATGGACCTTTCACTGTGTGCTCGTTTGCAGTCGTTTTACAGTTGCAGCTAATTATTCTTCTAGTTTGTTGTTGGAAGAATTGTTTGTGTGGAACAGTTGTTAATTCCTTGCTGTGAGACAAAAATACTGCAGTTGGAACATTACCTGGGTGTTACCCACATCAACTGGGGGCCTGAAGAAAAATCAAGGCAGGTCTGTGTGAGGTTGGTACCCTCGGCAGCACGGCGCCCATGCTGGAAGCTCCTTTTCCATGTACAAAGTCAGCAATGTTTTGCTCCATTTTTTTTGGTTCAGGAAAACGTCTGGGTACAAAAAGTTTCCCTCTGTGCTCTTCAGCATTTCGTAAAAGCAGAGCACATTTGTGGTGTGCTTGTAGATAACCAGCAGTGGAGCTTTTTGTATGGGTGCTTCCCCTGCTCCTTCCTGCAAAGCGAAGCCCACAGCAGGCAGATCTCAAGCCCCAGTCCAGAGCCGTCGAGGCCATGCTGTCTCCATGGAGGTGTTCCTAAGCAGCACTGTTGTCCCTCCTGCACACACACTCTCCCTTCTACTCCCTTTTTCCTCCAGTCAAGCTGCTACAGAAACCTGAATATCCTAACCTGCAGGCTGCTTTCATTTAGAATCTTCCTGTTTCTTTCCTCTCTGCTTCTGACTTAATCCTTTGCCTACTTCGCAGGCCGATTCTTTGATGAGAATGAATCCCCTGTTGATCCGCAGCAGGGTTCTAAACTGGCAGATTATAATGGGGATGATGGTAACGTGGGTGAGTACGAGGCAGACAAACAGGCTGAGCTGGCTTACAATGAGGAAGAGGATGGTGATGGTGGAGAAGAAGACGTCCAAGGTGAGCTTGGGCCTTATCTCCATCCCGCTGTAATGAAATCCACACTGAGTGTTCTTGTTGAATTTGTGTAAAGCCCCATTAATTTTGGCTGATCTGCAATTTGTAATACGGAATAAACAAGCTTTAAGCGATCTTTAAAATTCAGCTCGCTTTCCATTTGAAAGCAGTGTTACAGCAGCTCTCAGAATATTCCCATTGCTTATTTCAATTTTGCACAACTTCTGCTAGGGAAATCGAGATGTTTCAAATTTTAGAAGTGGTTTTCTAAACACAGACGTGGTGCATAGCTGGCTGGGGACGCAGTCTTTGGCATTACACTTCTCTACTTAAAACTGCATCAGTGGTTTTTGACTCCTGCTAACTGAAGTCACACCTGCACTGAGGTGGCACACATCCAAGTCCCAGATATCGATTATAGTGTAACTTTTTGTGCATCCTACACAGATTCAACAGACTTTGGTTCCCCTTGTCAACCAAACTTCAGAACTCAGCCTAACACCCATCCCTGCATGTTGCCCCCCATGCATGCGTCTCACTGTGTCACCTCTCTGTTGTTGTCTGCCGTGCAGCTGCCACGTTGTCTGCCGTTCTCCATGTAGTTGTTTGGTAACGTCTTGTGGAGGGCTTGCATGTCTAGAGGTTGGAAATGTCTGCTGAAACATTTACAGTATTTCCAATTAAGGAAATGATGCAAAATAAAGGGGGAGTGCAGAGGATGGGAGGGCTGTAACTCCTCAAGTTCTGTGTGCACCCTGATTTTGATCCTTGCAATGCAGGTTTTTTAACTGGTGGGTTGTCAATGATTTTATTGTCATCCAAGCATAGGAATAGGAAAAGCTGATAGAATGCAGCTGATTTCTGTTAGTGTGCACTGCTGCATGCAGAGTGTGCAGTGGCTGTGCTGGTAGTTTGAAACACAAGAACAAGCACAAGAACGGTATGGATCAGAACCCTGGGCAATTAATTTGCTCACTGATGAAAATGAAAAGTGCTGCTGCTCCAGGTGACGTGGGCTGGCTGCTACACTTCCATTCCGAGCTGTAGCAGGGGACTTTAGTTGCTCTGGATTACAAATGCCCATCCCTCTGGGTGTGCTCTGATGAGGTTCTGAACGGATTGTTAAGGCCAGCTTCCAAATGAGTGTAAATAGTCCACATGGCCTCTTGTACTGATGGGCACTGCCCTGTGGAAGCAGGAAGCTGGTTTCTCAGGGCCGTGGTTTTGTAGAGCAAAGGAAAGCACGGTGTGGGGCCTGTCTGCTGTGCACTCTGCAAATCCGAGCAGTGGTGTGGATTGAGTTGAGTTTTGGTCGTTATTTAGTTCAATTCTCCCTCATGTGCAGTGGGTGATGCCTGGCTGCTCTCTGCATCGCTTCCTTAACTGGACTTCAAAGGGTGACTCCTGACATGAGTGAGTCCCAGTGCTGCCCTGTGCTGTTCGTGTGGCTCAGCCTGCAGGCAGCCTTCTGCAGCCGCTGCCTCTGTGCCGGGCAGAAGATGCCCAGCAGCACGGCGAGGCAGCAGAGCAGCACTGCAGGCCCTGCAAACGCTGCACTGTGCCCCCAGCACGGAACTGCCTGCTTACCAACACTGCTGTGATGGCTGTGCGAGAAAACCAATGGCTTGAGGTAGCCAGAAGCAATATCCAGTGAGCTGTGAACCAGTACAGGTGCCTTGAAGGGTGCGCTGCTAGCAGCTTATGCAGTGATGGGCTCAACATGGGAGTGAGTGCTGGAGAACTGATAGAAACCAGAGGTTGTGGTTATGCAGCTTGCTGTGTAGGAGCTGCAATTGAAAGTGGCCTCAGAACTTTCACTTGCTGATGTGACACCTCTCAGCTCAGGGCTGTGGTGGCTTTCGCTTTGGACTTTCCTGCCCAGTCTGTTCACATCTGCACAGACAGAAGAGATTTTGTGCCATGTAGTGAAGATTGAAGGCTGACCTGGGGGCTCTTCCTGCAGAACAGCTCAGGCAGCACATTACAACCTCTGGCTTCATGTTCCAAACCATCCGTTGCCTTGTCTCCTGGTGACTTGTTGGCTTGTTCTGTGTGGAGAGCAGTACTGCCAGAGCAGCATTTTAGAAGTGTCTGCTTTAGGTTTTGTACTTAATTTACCAGCAGGGGAAGAGAAGGTGGAATTGTGGGATTTTGGAGGAGTTGTTATAATTGTTTGGAGGTTATAAAAAGAAAAACCCACTGAATTTCTGCCTCAAAACTAGTAGGAAAACATCACGTGGTTCTGCATTAGGCTAGAACAAAGCATCTGGTATGTGTAAACAAAGCAGTTTGGTTAAATGTGTTTTTCTGTTACCACTAAAATTGTATGGGCCTTATGTTGAAATATAAGGAAAACAGAGAAATTGGGGAGATGCCCTCCTGTGAACACCAGCATCCAAACTGGCATTTCTCCTTTCAGTTCACCTGTTTGAAATGCAAAGTGAAATGTACACTGCTGGCTTCTGCACCAGTAGATGTTTGGTGGTGGCAGATTATACCAATCAAGTGATGCCCACATGCTTTATTAGTGGCTTCTTCCAAACAACAGCGTGTGTCACGCAGATAAACAAGCCTGTGCCAGTGGCTGTAGCTGCTGGTGTACCTGCCTCACTTGTGGGCTGATAATAAACTTGTGACTGTTTTAGAGCTTCAGACAGGTTATCGTCAAGCGATCGGCTTAGTAAACTTGTGGAGGGGCAGCTGATGGCAGTCACTTGAACTCTGCTTTCTGCTCCTGTGAACTAGCATCCTTCACTTGGGTGTAAGGCACACCGTGAGCTTTGCAATGCAGCAGAAGCTTCTTGGTTAAAACACGCTGGACTTTCAGGACCTCTCTTCTTGTGGGACCACGCAGGAGCCATCTCAATGATGGCAGCCAGAATAACGTGCCTCAGTAGTTCTTGCAAGAGATGCTTCAAAATATATTTTCCTTGATTTTACTTTTTTTTGTGCACTACAGTAAATGAATACAGCGAGGATGAGCAAGTTTTGAGCATTTGTTTTTATGATTTTTCACGAGCCTCCAAGTCCCAGGACTAGGAGTCAAGAAGTAGGAGAGCAGCAGGAAGCAGGCGTGTGGGACCTGCAGCGTGGAACGCCTTCACTCGCTCTCCCAGCCAGGGATGAAGCAGCAGCCACCCTGCAGAGCAGCAGAGCTGCGGCGCTCCGGGCGCTTTGCATCAGCTGCAGGCTGCTCTGCACGCGCTGCTCTGCTGCACTCTGCTTCCTGGCTGAGCTGCAGAACAACGGCATGTTTAAGAGCAGATGTTTTGATGGGTGATGATGGCTGTTTATTTACTGCTTGGTAGCCTGACTGGATGGTTGTGTTTTGGCTGTGAAGAATGCATTGCTGATTCCTAGCAAGGCTGAGGGAATACAGATTTCTATTGATAAGAAGCATGGAAAGGTTGAACGCTGCTTTTTGTGCTTTTAAGAGTCCTCCAAGTTTTATACTTGAGTCTGATATGCAGGATAGCAGTCTGTAACAATGCTGATAGCACAGGCAATTCAGAGTATCATTTTTCAAACCTAAGGCGTAAGCTGGAAGAGTATCAGCTCCTCTGCAGTTTGTTCAGAGCCTTGGAGGAGGCTCACAAGGACTCCTCTGTGCAGGTCCTGTATGGTTCCCAACCTCTGGTAAAACCCTGCAGCGTTTCAACTCTGCCAACTTGTAACCCGTGCTGATGTAACCTTCCAACATTGCAGAGACTTTCTGGTTGGCTTTTAGTGGGAGAGTTTCAAGCCCATAAAGGAACATTCCCAATTTACAGTAGTTCTGCAATCCCTCAAGTCATCAGATGTCTGAGATGCAGTTGGAACAAAGCTGGAGACGCTCAGTAGTGTGCAGTCACAGTTTGTCAGTGGGGACAAACCGCCAGGTGCTGCCAGCAGGCAGGGCCTTGTGCTGCCCTGTTGTCCTAGGGGACTCCATTCCCACAGGCAGACGAGGTGCAGGTGGATGAGTTAGCACTGTGTTCATGGGAAAGCTTGCTTTATCTTTTGTTTCATTACCATCACATGAGAATTGGTCTGAATATTTCCATTGCAGATGATGAAGAAAGAGACCTACAGAACGACCTCGTCGATTACAGCAAGCCGCGCTTTGGTGACGGTGTTCTTTAAGGCTTGAGTTAATTGGGAAATGCAGATGAGATCTCAACTGAAGAACTTGAAGTGCTGCAAAACTGAACCATTTTTACTTTGCCGTTTCATACTTTAAAACAAACTGATAATTAAAGATAAGTATACTCAAAGTTAGGGAAGCAACAGAAGGAAACAGTTCTGTACATATGTACATAGTTGTACTATTGCAAATTGTATTAAAATGACATTTTTGTTGTTACATTGAGCCAATTACTTAGACTGTACCTTATCTGTAAGAATCTTGACATTTAAAACAATATTATAAATAGGGGCCGAGTTGTTTCTGCAAATTAGAAACCTTTGTAAACTGGAGAACTTGTACAGTTTGTATCTCATGTACCAAATACACTGTGGAAACAATGTACAGCCAGAGGACTCCTTTTCTACAGTAATTCCTGTATGAGCAAAAATACTCTGCTTTTTTCATGAGTGCTGTGTGTTTTGTGTTTTGCAGGTGAGCTATTGTTTGAGAATGAAAACTGAATGCTTAAAAATTGCTCCTTCTTTGATGTAAGTGAGGAAGGACAGTGGCACAGGCCTCAGAAGCAAGCACCATTTTGATTCTCACGTACAGTGACCAAAACTCATAGCTAGAGCTGCAGATCAGTGGCAGCAGAGTTACAGTCATTTGATACATCCTGAGAAAGTTGTGTAACTAATAGCTTATCTTAAAAGCTGATATAAAGAATTCAACACAGCTTGTAGGGGATCTTTGTGCACGTGTTAAAGGAGAGAGAGCAGGTAGTGTGGGGATGGGGGAGGGAAGAAATCTGCATCAGCATTGCAGGAACCTGAAGGGAAGGCACAACCCCTACCCTCCCTAAATACCTTGTATGCAGAGTTTAACTGTTCCAAGAGACTCCATCCTGTGTTGCAGTCACTCAAGTTCATTTACAATGTAATACTTTGGTACAGATCTCTCCAACCATCTGCCACTTCCACCTTTGCTTTTGTGTCTCCGACCAGTTTGTAAGTTAGATACTTTTTGTATTATGTGTTGAGCACTTTTCTGTATTTTATGGAGATGATTCCGTTGATCTACAGTAGTGGAAAATGAGGTTATTAACCCAACCTGCTTCTCCAAAAGGGCTACTGTGAAAAGAAATTACAGGACCTCTGACATGGGTGATTGTACTCTCTGTATTCAGGTTCCAGTCTGAAATAACAGTCTTGCTTGATGCCCATTCAGTGGACCTTTTACATTTCAGAAGTTGCATGATTTTTGTTTTGCTACATTATTCTGCTAATGAGTCTTAAAACATATGAGAAATAAAACATCACATTCTGGTGATGCCTTGCAGTGGTTGGGTTTTTTTCCTCTGGTGGTGGTGTTTGAGGCCTGACTTCTTCATTACGTGTCTGAGAGGCAGGGGGGGAGCAGCCCTCAAAGCAAAGCGCTGGGCCTGCTCTGCCTTGGATCCATACTAACATCACACAGGAAGAAAAACCTGTACCAGGATTATAAGAATAGCAGTCACAGTAAATGCCATATTTAAGCATTGCATTTTTTTGGTCTTAAAATGTAATTTCACCCTGAATTAGGTGTTCTAATATATTGGGTTCTAATAAATTGTTTAAAGTTTGTGAGGCTTCTGGCTCTTTTGTTTCCTTCTGCAGCCATATCAAAGTGATTGTGGCTCCTGAAAATCAGATTAACGCAGGAGCTGAGTAGTCTGGCATAGCAGCAGTGGTTACAGCTGCTTGCTAAAAGCCAACTCCTGTGAGTTGGCAGTGAGGTGAGGACCTTCCTACAAGCCATACAAACTTTCTTGTCCTATCAGGACAATTACACTGTCAGATATTTTTAAGCAACACGTGAGCTTCAAATGCAGTACCTGTGTAGTGGGTGTGAATGTGGGTACCAACCTTGGCAGCAACTCCTGAGCTGCTGTAACAGATAGACAAGAATAACTTGGCATCGCTGTACCTGCTGTAAAATCCTCCCAGAATCCCTGGCTGTAGGGTCTCTGGTGTTGTGCTGTACAAAAACTTCTCTGGGCAGCTCTTTGCACGTTGCTTCTGCGCTGCGTTTCCATCCTTGAAGCCTATGAGACCGTTGGTCAGACAGGTTACTGTGGAGGTGTACAGGGAGAAGCCTACAACCACACTGCCCTTGGTAAGTGCCCACATACACACTGAGGTCAGTAACCTGTTATTATGGGCAGCACACTGTGCATGAATTGTAGGCTTGCTTTACCCCAGTGTTTTGAGAGACCAACTGAAGCACGGCCCGTACAGAAGCATGGTTTGATCCCCATGGGTGCCCTTTTAAGGAATCTGGTTTTGGTCACTAGGCGCTCTACCCTTCATTATTTAGTGATCCGCTGTTTAAAGAATTTTATTTCTAAGGGGAATTGTTCTGTCAAACAAATTCCACTTGAGTGAAAAAAAGTCTGTGTTCTTTTGGGGAAGTGCCAATGTTTTTAGAGCAGGTTTTTTTTTGTGGTGGCTTCATTACAGCTGTTTTCTACACCATCTCCCCTCCCACGCCGGCAGTGGCTGCTTCCCCACCTCAGCAGTTAGCCCCGTACCCCCACCTCATCCCCTTTCTCCTTCAGGCCTGCAGTTCTGCCTTACTGTCCTTTCCCAGCCCTTCTGAACCGCATCACTGCTGGGTGCAGCGAAGCACCGCAGCGTTCTGTGGCTGTGCCTCCCCTCCCCTCAGCCAGCCCTTCCCATCACTTCACACTGCAGCACCGACCTCCAGCTCCGTGCCTTTCCTTTAACATGTTGCCCTTCACCAGCTGGGAGCCACTGCTCTAGAGGACTTGGGACATCCAGTTCATATTGAAGACAGACATCTAGGCATGGCTTGAGCTAGAAAACACATACAAATGTCCGAGTCACTAAGCTGAAGACGCAAGACTCCAAACAGAGGAGTCTTCATTTTCCAAGGATCCCCAGGGCGCTCTGCCCTCAGCTCCATACAGTTGTGCTCATTGCACACTGCCTGCAGTGAGTCCTGCGCTGATCCCGTGCTCAGTGCTCAGCTGGGATAACGGCCTTCGCCGGCTCTTCTAAAGCACACGTCCTCAGAGGCAAACAGCTCAAAGAAATGGCACCTGCTTCATTTCTACAAGCTGCTAAAGATTCCAAACAATCAGCTCTGTGTTCCCTGAGCCATTATATGTTAAAAAGAAAAGTTTGCCAACTAGCTTAAATCTGTAGTTTCATCCAATACCTCTTTCACCTTTTTTCAAGTAGAGGCCTAAAGAAGTGATGAAAATGTGGCAGCTTTCAGGTATGTGGAAGAGAACAAGCTAGAAAAAAATGCAACTCATGCATTTTCTAATAACGTTCCTTCAGACAAAGGCTCACTTAGAAAACATAAATCATGGACCTGGCAGTGTGCATGTCTATAACTAATGTGTTCACGGCGTATCGGTTAGCACCACAAGATCAGCTCATGAGGAGCAATATGAATGACTAACCTATCTGGATTTTATTTTTTACATCCAGTTTTGAAATCCTGAAGCCATTTTTCTGAGCTGATACCCGTTTCCATGGAAACAGCAGCACACAAAATGTTGACATATTTCAAAGAGCGCTACTCAAATATCTGCTTCCCTCAAACCATCAGCTGAACTTCAGAACAGCATTTGGTGCATGCGGTGGAACTGCTTTACAAGGAAAATCAAGGCACCTTTAAATGATGGCCCAGGCCAGATCTTGTTGTTTGAGCAGTGCTTCCATACAGCTAAAGCAGCGTGCAGCTCCTCGAGTTCCTGTTTTAAGGCTTGTGTATGAGCAGCTTTTCGTCCACATGGCAGTGCATGGAAGGAGTCATCTGAAAAGCAGCAAACGAGACCAACAGACCTCATCCTAGCTTCTCATAAACTCACATCCCTCTTTCATACGCACTTCCAGGGGCTTCAGTTCACCTTGCCACTTTGCAGTGCTGAGTGCTCAGCATCGTCACTGCTAAGAAGAGGTCAGGAAGTGTGGTGAAGATGAGCGCTGTGCCAACAAGCTGAGCTCCTGGCCGTGCTGGTGGGAAGAGGACTGCATCTGAAACTGGACTAGAAAGCACAGGTTAGTTCAGTCGCTCTAGTTTTTGTACACTGAGTTTTCATTACTTTCTTCCTTTTCCTCCGCTTACTCAGGTTCATAAAGAGTAACAGCTGTAAAGCACACACCAAACCAAGCGATGGTTAGTCATTGAAAAACGGGTTTCCTACTGATTTGAGATCTAAGGGAAACAGAGAAAGCTTTATTCAAATGCAATGAGAAAAATCTACGTTTTGCCCCAGGCTACATCTGAGCAACCTATATTAACTTGTGAGACACGTGGCCAACTATTTCATTCTTTCTTAAAGACAGCCCGTATTTTAAAAGGTGAAAAACATTTGCATTTTACAGCTGAAGGGGACACTGCTTTTGGAGGAGAAAGTGCCTCTGCCTCCAATTCCTCATCATCTCCCCCATTTCTCATTGGAGGACAGTGGGTACGGAGCACCCAAAGGGTCCCCGATCTGCCCCAACCCCCGTAGCACAGGGAACTGCTCCTCCTGCTTTGTGCTCACCCAATACAGGTACCTGCGGCCAAGTGGGGGATAAGAATTAGAACAGCTTTGATAAAAGTAAAGCTTGGAAACAAGCAAAACAAAACAAAAGTACAGAAATGAGTATTTAATAAAAGTCTCAAGCAGCATACAAGAAACAAGCAGCTTCTGAATGCGTGCACTTACCTGGAAGCCCTCCACACAATTCAGCCCTTTTCTGCTTTCTTCTTTCCATTTCAAAAGCCCAAGGCTGTAATGGCCACAGCGGCTGCAGGGTCACAGGGCAGAAAGGGAGTAAGAAATGCCTGCACTTCCACACTGCCTGAAGGAGTTCTGATGTCAACCAAGAAGCTGTGGGGGTGAGCTGGTGTTCAAAAACGGCTGCAGTATTTCTGTTGTCCCAGCCTCCAAACGGCAGCAGAACTGAGGAGCTGCAGAGCTGAACCAAACGCGGGCAGCTCGGAGCTCAGCCTGCTGGAGTGCTGTCCTTCAGGGACCAGATGCAGAGCGCAGCTCCTGGCATCCAGTGCAGTAAGGGGGGATGACAGCAGAATGCTTGTGAGCTACCCGCATCCATGTTTAAATCTCTACCAGCCTAATTAAGAGTTTTACGGCTTCAACGCACAGTACAGATACCAACCAACGCGTAACAGCCACATGAGGAAGCTCCTCCAACACGCAGAGCTGACAGCACACCAAGGACCAAGGAAATCCCTGCAATTGTCCCATTTCCTAAAGATTTCAGATGCAAAGACAGAAAAGAACGAAGCGCCTCTCCGCTCTGCATAAATAACCAAACCTGTAAAAGGCCAATTATGAACAGCTGTACGTTAAAAGCACAAGTCCATGGAAATGAATGTTCTGATGCCAAAAATATTTTGCTCAAGGTTAAACTGAGAACATACATATTCCTAAGCCATTTTTGCTCAGCGAGAGATTGCAGTACTTTGTTTTATGCCCAGCCCCAAAGAGAAATCTGACTTGAAGAGACATTAGCATACAAACAGAGCAGGACCTTTCAGAGCTTGGGCAACTGTTACTCCGTTACAGACGGCTCAAATCAATTAGAAAATACCTGCGCTTCTGTTTAAAATATGAGTGCTCTCACACCTCAGGGACGTACGTGGGATTTGAAGCTGGTGGAAATTCAGCATATTGAAATGAGGGAAAACAGCCACCAGCACCCGGCTCACGTTCTCTGCCACGGCTATTTTCCCTTCCTCCCCTCCTCCCCTGGCCCAAAGAAGGGTTGGAGATGAGACCAAGTTTTCCTCTTAAGACTATTTAATTCAGTTTTAAATCTGTTACGCATGGAGTGAGAGCGGCGTCTGTCCTGCAGAGCGGGAAAAGCCTCACACTGCACTGACACAAATTCCAGGTACTCCTGTAAGTAACCAAAGGAAAACAATCAGCAGCCAGCCAGAGGCCTTTCTGCCAAGCCTGACGGCTGATTTCAACAACAGTGAGACATCCAAGTTCCTGCAGTGAACAGTCAAAGAAATACTGCATTTATTCTAGTTAGCTCCAGCCACCAATTCTATTTATGGATTTTCAGTAGGCAGCTTTTCCCAAAGCTTTCCCCAAGCTCCATGGATCCCACAGAAGCAAAGACTTGCTGTTGAAGCTGACCTCCTGGAAAAGTAGGAAACCCAAAGCGATGGCTTCCACCTGATGGAACAGAACCACGTTTTCCAGAACTGCCAGAGCTGCAAAGGGCATTCTGCTGAAATTATTTCCAGACTAAGGTGACAAGACGAAAATGACACTAAATAACCAATGAGTGACATATTTTATTAAATGTTAAGAGTTTACATTTTCATACAGACAAAATCATAAACAGTGAAAAATGCAAGGCCTACAGAACAAAAGAACTCTAGTAAGCAAGCACTTTGCAATAGAAGATTACATGTTTTCAGTGATTCACAGCATGATCTGCCTGGGAAACACACAGGGTTGGCTAAGCTGCATACAGGTTGTCATGCACTTCTGCTTCAGTTTAATTATATCTGCAGCAGACTCTGCACAAGCAATCAAATCCTGAAAACTCTGCAATAAAAGGCTGAAGCAAGCCCCTCACGTGCGCTCTGCTGTACGAGCTGCAGAGGCAAAGCCCACACAGAAAAGGAAGAGGAGCCAGCTCTTTATCTGTCACTTTCTGGTGCAGCTCTGGAAAGCTGGCACCCCTCAGCTCCTCTGCACACACAGCCACTTACTGCTCACTTCAGACTCCGGCGGATCTGCCTGAACAAACACGTGTGTGTGTACTTGTGGTATGCCAAGAACTCACCACCACCCTCAGCTGCGCTCCTTCCCAAGCAGAAGTAAGGCTGAGTGCTTCCAACAGCTCGTCTCACCGTGCAGAAACAGTGCAGCGTTCTGCAGCAGCTCGAACCTTCTGGCTGACTCCAGCACCAAGGACACTGTGCCTCTCCAACACAGCACTGGTTTAAAGAGAAAGTGGGGCACGTATACTTATTTACTGGATTACACTGGGACTTTCAGACACACAGAATCAGGGTTATGGTACATGCGCAAGGACTTGTGCCAATGCAGGAACACGAACACTCCCAGTCCTGCCACCCAAATCTAACTCTTCCCACGGAGCAGCAAAGGCTTGCTCGTATGGACACTCCACAGTTCAACCTCCTGCAGTCGGACCAACTGCTGAAGGATGTGTTTTCATCCCTGGCAGATTGCTCCGTGGCTGCAGACACCTCAAAGATGTTCTGTGCTAAATCGAACACACATTTCAGTTGGTTTAAATTCACGCTTGCCTTTGTGTCTGAAGAGGCGCACAGCACCATATGAATTCTGGCTCCCTCTCTAAGTGCAAGCAGTCAGAACAGTAAGTCTGTAGCTGCTCCTGGACAGACAGATTGCATGACAGACGTCTGGGCATGCAGAGCAAGCACAGCCTGCGAGCTGCTCCTCAAGTAAGTCAAGTCCGTGGTTGTTCACCTACTGAACAAAGCGTATTCCCTTCAGATAAGCAAGAGAAATAACAAATACTAGAAATAGATAATTTTAAAATTCTTTCACCCAAACAAGAATTGCTTTGTTTAAACAACTATTCCTCACAGCCATGGAAGTTAGCCCTGTAAAAAACACGGCACCTGAAGGCAGGTGTATGCAGCACCTCACCAAGAGCTGGGCTCACGCACACAGAATCTCTGTGACAAACAAGGAAGTGACTCTAAACAAGTCCTTCGCAGTGAGCACAAAGCTAGCAGGCCAGCAAGACTTGAGAACAGCAAAAAGAGTTGGAAGGAAGTCACGAAGAACGGCCGTTCAAATGAACATTAACAGAGTATAACATTTCAACACCGCGCAACACTGCTGGCAACGATGGATTTTTTTCCCTCAGTGAAGAAAACACGCACCTAGAATATCTCAGTTGGCAGTCCCTGCAACTGACTGCCAAGGGAAGAACCCGCCGTCGCCGATGCAGAGCCCCTTCTGAAGCAAGCTGCCTTCCAAGCTTCTCATGCCTCGTGTGCACACCCGGCAGCACCGCTCAGCTCCTCGTGGCACAGTGCGCTCCCACTTTATGAGTGAGGAACAGGTCACAGCAGGTGGACCTTTGAACTTGAGCAGTATGACTTCATGTATCCTCACCCGACACGTGACAAAGTTCACAACCCTTCTGGTCCAACAGCACCCCCCGCCCCTGCTCTGAACCAGGCACTGACCTCCGCGGATACAGAAAAGCACAGTTCTTATTCCCTACAGATTACCAAGTCACGTGCTTCAGCATCTTCAAAATGTTTTCTTGGCTTCTGCTGCGAATGCAGGAGGTGCTTTTTGTGTTCTTACAAATATCTGTGTGCTTTGAATGCAGCTGAATGGTTTCCTCTGGCAGTTAGTTTCATTATAATTACATAGCTTGGAAAAGCCTCGCCACCTATTGTTTTTCAAAACTCCCACTTGATGAGTACCATTGAATGTCCTTTTGGGCTTGTACTATGAGACATCACAGAGTTACCCTGCCATACTCCTCTTAACGGACTGTCAGACAGTCGTAATTAAGTTTTACCAGCTTTCCAAGCTAACCTTTCCCACAGCCTGTGCTTACTAAAGTGTTTAGAAATACTGTAATGCTCTACAGGAACAAGGCCTGTTCTGAATAACGACTGCACTGCTCCCACCGCAGCTTTACTCCCCGCTTCCTGGAGAAACTAAGGTAAAATTAGTTCTATGATGTCTTCTCCTAGGAAAGTGAGAGTTTTGTGATAAAATTTTAAACCAATTCTTGGCTCCGCAGCAGCTGATGTGATACTGTTTAACAAACCAATAAATAAGTGACAAGAGAGCCAGGAGTTCTGTAACACAACTCAGGTCTGAAACCTGTGGGGGTGTCAACGGGTATCGGAGAAGGAAGAAGAGCACCCCGAGCAGGTTTGTGCGCACGGGTGCCTGAGAGAACGTGCATCCGAGCGACAACTTGAGAAGCTGTCCGAAGGTCGTACAACACTGATGTGAGAACCACGGATTTGCGGATGAAAGCACTCCCAGCCATTAGGAGAGGCGAAGCCGGCAGCTCAGCGGGCTGTAAGCCCTCAGTGCCAACCCAGCACCGCCTGCTGTCCTGGACGGGACGGTCAGGATGCTGCGTCCTCAACATCTCACACGAGAGGCCGCCGAGAATTAAAAAAGTAAAGCGGGAACGAAACTTCGCGTCGGACCGTCCGGGTGTCCCGAAGCAACGGCTCTGATCGCAGCGCCGCGGCTCGGAAACGACGGGAACGCCGCAGGAGCCGGGCGGGAGGGCAGAGCGAGCGGCCCGGCCGGGTCCGGTAATCTGGCGGGGAGCCTCGCAAGGCCGGGCAGCGCCGCGTGGCCGCTTCATCCCAGGCAGCGCGGCAGAACGCCGCTCCCGCCACCGCGCTCCTCCGACCCCAGCGCCTCCCGCGGGGCTGCGCGGGCCGGAGAGCCAAGCGCGGGGCGGCGATGCCCCCGGCCGCACCTCCCGGAGCGCCCCGCCCCCCCGCCCCTCCCTCACAGGTTCCCCTCCTCCCGCCCGGCTCGCGCCCTCCCCGCCCCTCAGCCGCTCACCTCCCCCCTCGCCCCTTCCCGCCTCACCTCACCTCAGCTCGGAGCGCAGCTCGGCCCTACAGGCGCTTCACCGCCGCACCTCCTCCTTCCTGTCCTCCTCGCGAGGCCCCTCAGCGCCACCCGCCGCTCCCGGCACGGGGAAGAGAAGGAGGAGGAGCGGGAGGCGGCTGCCCGCTGCCCGGCCCTCTCCGATCCACTCCCTCAGCCCGGCCGCCCCGGGGCGCCGCTCCCCACGCGAGGCCCCGCTCCCTCCTTCCCGGCCCGCCCCGCCGCCGCCGTGCCCGGGCCCCCCGCCTCCTCCTCCTCCTCCTCCTCCCCGGACCGGGCTGCGCCTGCGCGGCGGCCCCTCTCCCCATCCGGGTCCCTTCGTGCGGTGTAGCAGGTCGGTAGGCGGGAAATGGCGACTGGCTGCTGAGCGGCCGCGGAGCGCCGAGCCCCGGCGGCGGTGTAAACACAGCACCGCCCGCACGGCCCGGCCCGGCCCGCACCGCCCGCTCGCCGGGGACTCGTCCGGCGGGGCCCGCCCGGCTCCCCGCGCCGCAGGTGAGTGACGCGGCGGCGGCGGGGTCCCAGCCCGGGATCGGGCGGGCGGCGCGGGGCGGCCGCTCCGGAGCGCGCGGCGGAGCCCGGACCGGGGCCCGCGGGAGGGAACCGCGCGTC